ACGAGTACCTTTCCTTCGTGGCGAGCAAGGCGGTGAGCTACGAAGTGATGATGGAGACGGACGTGACGGACCCGTACAGGTGGAGCCACCTGCAGGCGGATCGATGGCGAGACCGCGGCTACGACTACGGCGCCGCCCTGGATTACGTAAACGCGATCTCACGCTCCGCCGTGAGCCTCAACGTGGCCGTTGACCCTCGGCTCCCCGCTGCCCTGCGGCTGGACGAGCATTTGGAGAAGGCCGTGGACAGATACGTGCGCACGTCTGGCCAGGAGTCTAACCTGCTCGCAGACATCCTGGCTGATTTGGAATCCGCCATACTGGCCAGCATCAACAGCTACGGCCAGGAGGACGCCAAACGCATTTACAGGAAGTCGCTCAATCTGCCTTACACGGCTCCAGAGACCGCGGGCTCTGAGTCGAGAAACACCCTCAGGATGGTAATTTTGCTGTCTGTGCTCGTGCCGAGCGCGGTGGTGGCGTGCGTGGCGTCCTGGCTGGTGTACGGCAAGATGATGGGCCGGCAGGGGCTGCTGGGCGTGAGCGCCCCCGAAGCCGGGCCCAACACCAGCCTGGTCGTCACGGACATCGAGAACTCGACCACATACTGGGAGGAGGTGGACCCCGACGTCATGGAGGAGGCGCTGGAGCTGCACAACGAGTGCATTCGGCGCGTGCTGCGCCAGCACAACGGCTACGAGAGCGCCACCGAGGGGGACTCTTTCATTGTGGCCTTCCACACGGCCAAGGACGCCGCCCTGTTCTGCGTGGACGCACAGCTGGCGCTCATGCGCGTGGACTGGCCACAGCAGGTGTGTGCGAATGCGTTGTAATTGCGCTTGTCAAAAGACGAAGCAACGGCCCTTGCAGCATAAACTGGCGATGTCGGGCACTCATTCCACGCACACTTTTCTACACATGACAGTTTTTGTGACAATAAAATAAAAACACGAAATTAGCCAAAGGGCGATCACAACAAAAGCAAAAGTTATAGAATAAAGAAGCATAATATAAAATGAAATAAAGGCTATGAGCCACAGCGTTTGCTCGCGTCGCAGCAGGTGCTCAACGCAAACATCTGCGGTACCCAATCGGTGGTGCCGCGGGACGACGACACGCCCGCCACGCTAACGCAAGCAGTGAACGCGTTAACAAAGGAGAATGAAAAGGAAGAAAGAGGGGGCGAAAAAGGGGCCGAAAAAGGTGGCTTGACTGCGTCAGCTGATGGCGTGGACGCGAGGGAAGCTGCGAGGCTTGAGGAGGCGAGGAGAGGATCACTGCCGGAGGTGGACAACCAGGCGGGCCTCAAGGCGGGGGTGCACCCCGTGTCGTGGTTCAAGAACACGACTTACGACACCGGGGGCAGCTCCTCCGGTGTGGGATCTGGGTCTGGGTCGGACTACAGTTTCGTGGGCACCGGCGTGGCCCAGGACGAAAATTTCTGGGGGGTGCAAGTCGAGGTGGGCAGTGAGGGGGGCCGGGAAAGGCAAATGCACGGTTCCGAGGCTGGCGGGGAAGGGGTGGAAAACGTGGGGCCGGCCGGCACGGGCGCCGTTGATGACGATGCGGGCTCTGAGGGGTCGAGGGACAGCAACGGGCCGGAGAGCGTCCCGGACGTGGAGATTTGCGCCCCGGCTTCGGCGGGCCTGGTGGGAGCAGACGCAAGGAGTGCGGGCGCGCAGAGCGCGCAGACGAGCGAGTTCTCCCTGTTTCGGATTTTCGCCGGCAGTCGGGAGGGCAGCGTGGCCCTGCCGGGGGCGGCGGCGCTGTCATGGCTGCGGTCCGGGAGGATGCAGAAGTCGAGCGGGAAGATCAAGCGGCCCAAGGGACTGTTCGCCTGGGGGGGGAAGCTGCCTGATTGCCTCGACGACGGGGGGTTTGTGTTCAGGTGTGCGCAAGTTGTAAGCACCAGGTGTTTAGTACACACCTGAATCTTTCAGAAATGCGGTTTTTCCGTCTTGTCTTTCTTTCTCTGCTCTTCGGATTTTCATTCCGAAAACTCCCAGAAAGGTTAAGTACTTTGCATTCGTTGATTGACAATCAAGGACTGCAAAGTACTGAGCTTTGTACCATATTCCCTAAAAGAAAATTGACAATGCTTGCGCGAATGCCCCTTTGGGCACTGAGCTTCATGCCCACCCACATTTTGCTTTAGCACCCACTCGTTGTCATCATGTTAGAGCGTAGCCAAATGGCCCGCAGCGCCACAGGTCTTGTCTCAAGCGTGTTGCTGCCACGTCTGCGAGGCGCAGCAAATCGAACCGCACATGTGGATAAAGGCCCAACTTTCGGCCTGCTTGCTTCAGTGCGGCTCGCTCCAGCCACCGCTGCGGCTCTATCCTTCCGAGGATTTTGATGGCTATCTGGTGCAAGCTGCAAATGGAGCAATGACAATGAGAATGCAAGCAATTGGGAATGCGCAGCTGGCGGCATGTGTGTGACGTGGCTTTCAATGCAGGGGACTGCGCGTTCGCATGGGAGTGCACACGGGCGTCGATTGCAACGAGGACGTTACCATGAACACTGCGACGTCACGCATGATGTACTCGGGGCAGGCCATGGCCGTCGCCAAGCTGGTGTCCGACGCCGGCCACGGAGGCCAGATCCTTGCCACCGAGGCTACATACAAAATGCTGCCCTTGGAGAAACTGCGCAAAGATTTCCACGTGCTGCACGCCGGTTGGCACGTGCTCGCCGATGACCTGCCCAGCATGCAGGTGTGCCTGGTTGAAGACCGTTTTGGACGGACCGAACGCTCGAGGGATATGCATCGTTAGGGAACTCAAATGGGATGGAGGCGGCCCCTGACGCGAGATTTCAATTTCCCGCTGGCATCGCTTGCGTCCGTGTTAAAATAGCGACATATTCGCAGAAAGTGCTGTAAGGAGAGGTGTGCTGCAATGAAATCGCAGCGCCGAATATTGACACCATGGCGGTTGTCGTCTACACAATACGATGAGCGGTTCCAGCACTTTGGGAATACCACTGTATAGCACTTTGTTGTGCAATTTCTCCCCGAAAGGTTACTCATCAATGCCACACTTACGTTGATCACTGGCGCTGACAATCATGGGTGCACATCGCATACAGCATGGTAATCGCCACACTCATGATTGCTCAGTGGCACTGGCAGTCATGAGCATACATTGTATAATCGCCACACTTACCACACTTGTGATTGCCAGTCATATTTGATCTTCATGACGTCAGTATCGATATTGCTTGTGCTGGTAGCTTACTGCTGCATCCTTGCCTAGACAGGTGCTGTTTCTTGGATGAAAAGTCAGCAATGATATTGGTGATAATTTTGCGCGCGATTGGTGCCCCATGCAGACAGTGTTTCCGAATGGCGCAATCGCAAAGTCGTGAGCACGCATCAGCGGAATCAGCTGAATGGCCGCGCCTGTGGTGCAGATATACGAGCTGGTCAGCCCCTGGACGGTCTCGCGCCTGCCCAGGTTCCCCTCCATACGCACCGCCGGCGTGCTGGCCCGCGGCTGGCGCCACGCCCCCACGGGCGACGTCTGCCTGGCCTTCACCTTCGCCCTGGGGGCGGACGCCCTGCTGCAGTGGAACAAGAAGGTGTTCCGCTCGGCGCTGCAGACATTCGAGGACGCCTGCAAGGGCAAGCTCATCAAGCACGGTGGATACAAGGTGGAGGCCGCTGACGGGCTTTTCCTGTCGGCGTTCTCCTCGGCTGCCACGGCAGTGGTGTGGGCACTGTCGGTCCAGGACGCGCTGGCGAAGCAGGAATGGTGGGTGGGTGGGTGGGTGGGTGGGTGGGTGGGTGGGTGGTCGGGGGTTGAATGATGCTAAATTCCTTTTGCCAAGTTGCGATTGGACAATTGCCTGCGAAAGATCAATCGCAGTTTGTGGAAATATTGCAACTTGGGAATTGCCTTCGACAGGAAGCGGAATTTATGCCAGTGTTACAATTTGGCAATCGCTTTGGAAAGACAAGGCGATTGCACCTTGCGGGCAGCGACTGGCGTGTGGACATCCCCAAAGCGGTTTTCTGTCCTTCATCTTTTCATCTAATCCGCTCGCCGCCAGACACTCGTGGGTGGCCTCACGCCGGCAGAGTTGGCCTGCTGCACGTGTGCGTCCCCGTGAAGTTCGAGGGTGCAAGGAGCTCAAGCGATTTATTCAATCGATATAATAAACCTCGACGCATATTCATACTATATACATTATTCATTTTGATGCTGATATTCATACTCATGTTCATATTCGTATTGATGTTTATCCGATCAATATAATTGACGAGAATAGAATTTGCTCGAAGCGTGCAAAGGAACTGGCAATTTTGAAGCCAATGTGGTGTGCCCTGGTTTGGGAGCAAATCGCACAGGCACCCTTTCGGTAAGACCTGGCAACGGTGCGGCACTTACAAGCCACAGTGGATTTCGAGCACTGGGAAAACGTACTCCCACCTGCACAAAACAGGCGACAACAGTTTCCCAGTATTTTTACCGCAGTCTTGGCCCTTCTTTTCTCTCTTTGTCGTTGTTGCTGGTGGTGGGGAGCCACCGCCGTCATGAATGCAGTGACCTTGCTAGGTTTAGGTTAGGGTAGGGCAAGGCTTAGGTTGGGGAGGTCAGGTTAGGTACAGGTTCAGGTTTTTCAGGTTTTTTCTTGCCGCTAGAGGGAGAGATTCGAAAGCGCCAACGGAACCTGCAGGCCGTGGGACGCGCCCTCGGCGGTGCGCCCCACACACTGTGACCCCCTCTATGTGCCGATCTCGCCGATTACCGTTACGAAGAACGCCCTATCGGGCAGCCGTGCGGCCAGCGCGCTGCACTCCAGCAAACAGCAGTGCATTCGTCCTCTGCATTCTAGCAGCCTTTTGCGCCTTGCGCTCAGTGAAAAGAAAGCGCTCTGTGGCGCCGTTTGCTGATGCCGCTGGCGGAATCAAGCCCCCCACACCCAACCAGTCAAGTAGCCCAATATGGGTACGTAATATAACCACGTAATTTTGGTAAGCAATGTAGGCGAATAATATGCCAAGCTGCAGCATCAGGGTGCCACCCGCAGACGGCTTCATAGTTACCAGAAGGCTGCCTGAAGATCGTTCCATTATTCCTCCCAATGTTGGTCAGGCTCGCTTCAGGGCCGCTGAACCTGACGGGCAGCAGACAGCGTTCCTGCGCAGGCCAGAGGAGCTGCTGGAGCACCAGCTGTGCTCCCAATCCAGCGTCACAATGATCGACGCCAGCGGCACACCGAGGGTGAAGTACATCAGGGGGCTGCGCGTGAAGACGGGCATATCCGTGGGCCCAGCAAAGGCCAACCCGCACGGGACCACGGGCAGGATGGCCTACAGGGGCAAGGTCATCAACCGCGCCGCCAGGGTGTCCAAAATCGCCGTCGCTGGCCAGGTGCTGGTCTCGGCGTCCGTGTGGGAACAGGCCAAGGACTCCGCCATCATCAAACAGAGGAGGGTGATGGCCGTTAACCTGGGACACCGAATTCTCAAGGTAAAAGTGACACCTTTCACTATCTTTTTCTATTATCTGTTGTAAAAATGTAGTAAAAGCAAATTTCCACTTATCATTGTAAAACTACATCTTTCTACTCATCTTTTGTAAGCGTCTTGCAAAAGCAAATGTGACGCTTTCTTTCATTATCTTTTTCCTACTTATCTTTTGCGAAAGTGACACTTTTTTTCGCTTTCTTTTTTCGTTTCTCCCTCAAAAATCCAAGACTGTCTTCCAGGGTGCTTGCCGCCCGGCGTCACGACATCTGGCAATGCACGATTCAGGCGCGTGATTTTCCGTGCAAGGCACGACCACATGTTTCAGTTCGTGCCACTGCGGGGGCAATGCCTCAAGCACGTGCTGCTGCGTCGGCGACACACAGGTTCTAAACCATGCAAACCATCGCCGTGGTTTGGGATGGCGCGGTCGGAACACATGTACCACCGAGCGGCTGCCTGGGGCAGGGACTTATTACCAAAGGGCATTGTATCACCCCGCACCATCAAATCTCCAATGTGCTCATACCCATGACTCTGATTCTTGCTCAGACGCCAAATTGTTCATTTGACACTGATGCAGGGGTGGCATGTGACCCCAAAGACGTTGCGATGCTGGTGGCTACAAGCACAATGCAGCCCATCATTACCAAAAGCATTTGCACCTTGGTCCATTTCCATCCCATCGAAATCCCACAAAAGTTTCCTTTCCAGTGAAAATTACTCTGCAGATGACAAGTGCTTGACAAACAAAGCACGAGCGCTGTCCCTGAAAGGGTCCTTGCGCTTGGAAAACAAGCCATGCCCGTGTGCCGTATGTGTTACGCATCACATGCTTCTCTTGGTGGCACTCGTGCAGTGTGGATGCGAATGCCCAGGCACGTATTGCAGCAACAAGCATACATGGCTGTTTGACTCAATGAACAAATGCTGGCACAGTCTTAACCTGCTATCCTTACCTTGGCATCAGCATTTCGAATGAGAAATGTCCTTGATTGTATACCAACCAACAGCTCTCATTTCATTGTAGAAAACTAGGGCATCAAGATGTACTAGACAAGCTTGATGATCTTGTAGCAACGCAGCACTAACCCAGTTGAGCAGCTATGCTGTGCGGGGACCCTTGATTTTGGGCAGAGCCACTCACTGTCATCATGGTTCAAAAGCATCTCCAGAATCAGCTTTCTTGTCCGTCTCAATTGGGAGTTCCACATACCTCTTGCACCTTTCACAGATGTCCAGGGTCTGAACAGCTTCCATTGGCCCAAGGCCTTCCGATCAACGATATTGGCCCGCTGACGTGTGTAAGATGGGTTTTGTTCTCAAAGGGCGTCCAAGAGCCACTGGAAGTGTACCACTGCTTCTGTGATCACGAATTCCAGCCCTGCAGCACTGTGGAGTTGTCGACGCTCATGAACACCCACCTGCAGTCAGTGTAGCAACGCATCCAGAGGCTGCAGAGGCTACTGGCCATTAAAGATGCCCTGAGCTGTGATGAGAACACACCTGGCATCCAACCTGAGGTCCTCTCTCTGGCAGGCGTGTTGAGCAACCTGAGACATGGATCACCTCCTGGACTGATTTTTACCTCAAATGCAGCACAAGAGCCATAGCACTGTGCACAGACATCCCTGTGCTGCCAGTTTCCTGCAGCTAGCCTTTGAACATTGAAGCACTTTACCATGGGAGGATGTGGGTAGGGTGTGCACATGCGCAACAGATTTCCCACTCAAGCGCTCCCCACAACAGTGCACATGCTGCATCTTGGGACATCCTCAACGACGGACTCAGTCATGTAGCTCACAGAGTCTTGGGTCAGTCATGTTTGGGGATGATATCTTCTTTCATGGACAGTAGCTGGGCAGAGGGCACATTTGGGAGTTTTGATGTTTGAAGGGATGCCGAACTGTATGCAAATGAGCATGGCATGCTCAAGCGCTTAAGTGTTACAAGGCTGCTCTGGTTGGAGCAGCCCAGTGCATGCCCAGCATGTCTTGTAGACTGCTTGTGCAGAGAGCCCAATAGAACCATGCCAGCATAATCAGATGCCAGAATACCTCTTGCCAAGACAGCAATGAAGCAACTAGAGGAAGGAAACCCTTCCATTCGAGCGATCCTCTTTCTCTGGATAGCATATCAGCAACAGTGCTCATGACTGACGCAGACACAAAACGTCACAGAATGTCACTATCAGCAACTGTATGGCACGGGGTTTTCAATGCACCTACTCCACTGGAAGCACAGCTGCCACCTGCTGAAGTACCCTACTGCATCGCTCAATCTGGACATCCAATTTGGACTTGAACCAACACGCCAACAAAGTACAACACCTGCAGACGCGATTCAAGCCTTCAGCAGCACAGTGTGTCCGGCATCTGCAGAGTCAGGTAACATATGTGTGGCAAACAATGGCTTGACCTGTCCTCCAGCCTGCAAACAACAGTTGTGCAACCCATGAAATGTACACATGAACCTGTGAACTCATGCACCCATGAAATGGTGTTAAATTTTGTAAAAATCAATGAAGCTATGAAATGGTATCAAATAACAGGCATGCCTACTGCTGAGACACAAGGCCTGTACCGAAGTCCAACAAATGTCTGCCTCCATTGCCAATACATTGCACAACCAATCGCAGCACCTAAATTAATTTATAGTGCAATGTTATGCCATGTTTGAATGCACACGCAAGAAGCACCCTCAGTGCGCTATGCTGTCTACATAAGTTAGCAAACTGAATAGGCACAGAGCACAGAAAACTGGGTCAATCCTGTGAGCAAAAGACAGCCGTGTGTTGGTGATCTGTGTGCCGGGGCAGTTCTGCCCCACCCCATCCACAGCTGACCCACATACCCTCACCCACACATATAGAGCTCAAACTGGTGCATCCTGCCTCGGTGCACTCTTGATCTTGACTGATCTCAAACTACCCTACCGTGTGGAAGCTGCTGGCTTCAATCTACTCTTATATCACACTTTGTCTATCCTGCCACACCCTTTTTGATACGCAGCAATGCTGGAGTGCCACCTGTCAACAGTCTTTTAGTGGGCAGACCAGTCTATTTCACTATTTGCACTACATCCTCAAAAAATTCACCATTTCCAGGACTATGACCTAGCAATGCCAAAGTAGTGACATATCACTCTGCAAACGTCAGTTTCCTCTTCACCGGTTGGCATTCTTGCTCCCCCTCGGGGTCCCGCTGCCTTTTCCGCTGTGGGTTGTTTGTTGCAGTTGCACAGGTCTGTGTGCTCTTGCCTGTGCCACATCAGAACAGCCACAGCCCTCACCTCAGCGGCTCTATTCAGGGTGTTTTGCAGTGTGGACAACCTACCTGACTTACTGCACTGCATTAAATTGCTAGCTTCATAGCATAAAACTCGCTGAAGGAATTCTCTTTCTTGCAGATCATCATTTAATTGTTTTTTATTCCATTTCACGGCACTCCATCCAAGGTCAAGACAGACTTTAGATTCTGATGTAGTGTCTTGGCATCAGGAAACACAGACAAGAAAAGGATAAGGCCCCAGTGTTTGTGGTCACACCAAACAGGAGGCCTCAAGTGCACCTCAGACCAGTTTTTGCACTTGTACATGTACACCCCAGAGAAAAGGCAGTCAGTTTGGCTTCTGCAGTTGTGAGAATTCAAGAATCGTCTCACCTGCACTGCTCTTCTGAGTGAGGTGGGGTGAACAGACATTCTTGAACAGATGCTGTGGATGGCATTGTACCCATCACCACCTGGAAGGTGCAACAGCAGTGCCTTTCAGCAACGCTTATCAATCGGTCCACTTCACTCACCTGCACTGCTGCCCTCCTGGCTTATGAACTTGGGCACCTCCTGGCTCATATCCTTTGGCATTTCCTGGCTAGCGCCCGTTGGCTGTTGTTTGCTTGGAAGCTTGGGAAGAAGGCCCACGGGCGTGGGGAGAGGGTGATTTTTGAAGTAAGAGTGCTCCAGTGCTTCAGAAGCTGCCAAAACCAATAGTGAAGAACTAAAAATTGTGCCGCCAGTTGGATTGGCCACGTTCCAAAGGTTGAACATAGTATACTGGCCAGAGCTACTGATACGCAAGCCCAGCGGATGCGCACCCGGGTACTGAAACTGCACCTGCGCAGTAAACTAACCCTTGCACCAGCTGTCTTGTTTCCTTGCAAGTGGAAGTGCGGAGAATGTGCTAACACGAAGTAGCCTTTCTTGATCTCTTCTCTCATGGTGTCGATTTGTGATATTGCACTGGCGGAGGACATTCCTGGCTTGGATGGATACATGGTGCCATCAGCGCCTAGCTATTCTAAATACAAATACATCACTTGTCCATGCACTTGTGTACAACAATTGCTGTTGCTGTGCAACCTTTCTTGCAAGTAATCAACCATATCATTCTTCATGAACAAGTTGCGCAGCTAACCAACTCCAAATGGATGCACACCTGGAAGGCTCCAAACAAATGATTGGCAAGATTCAGCTGGATCAATCTGTTGTTGCTTTCGGTCTGACCACAGCCAGGATGCCACAAAATTCTTGCTCACCACCCTCATATGCATCTGTTTCCCAAATATCACATTGAAGGACTCCAAAGTTCTTGAATACATACCACGCTTGGAGCAGGATACTTCAAATCAGTGTTTTGAGGTCTTCAATTCTCAATCCACTACATCTACGGCTCTTCCATTCCTTCTCATCCTGCTTCTGTTGGTTGGTGACTTTATCTGTTGTCATGAACACAATTGAACATTTGTGGCATTTGTGGCATGGGCGGGGACACAGGAGTTTCTCTCTTTATCTTGTGGCTTTTTCTGCTGCTGATGCTCCAAGAGGTCTGATTGGTGTGATCCAAGCATGAGTAACAAATCCACCAGCTTGATCAACATCAGGATTAACAAGATCCACAGTCCAGTCAACCATCTTCATCATCCAACATTGAGCATTCCCTGCAAATGACCACAGTTCACTGGGTTCAAATGCACACTCTGGCAGCTGAGCATCTTGCACATATGCAGAAGCCCAAATTGATTCCCACCTGAGATTCTATGCCTGGGATCAAGAATGACCATTTTCCCAAGCAAGTCCAGGGCATCTGCTGATGCCTACGGAGCCAAGGCACACTGTGAAGCATTGCCACTACCAACTGCCCCATAGGGCTAAATCATAAGATTGGAACACAATAGGTCAAAATACCATTTGGCTACTAGTAATTCTCACAAGCAGAGAAAGTGTCTAACTAACACAGGGTTCCCACCCTGAGCAAAAAACTTGCCACTCTTTCCTGGTTTGCAACACATGATGCAGAGGTCGCCAAATACACCAAGAAGGGCACACAACAAGGCACTGCCGGGCATGGATTGTGTGCCCACTCCACTTTCACAGGACATGGCCAGTCCATGTATCAGTACCATGTTGCAGTTGGAGATCTCTGCATCTTGTTCACAACAGGAATAAGAATACAGCAGACTTTTTGACCAGCACGGTGTGCCCATTGTATTATTACAGTATATAACAGTGGTATTGCCAGAGCAAGAGCATTGCGGAGTTCACACAGCCGTGACCAGCCAAACTGTGACAGCAACCCACAGATGAGTGCGTGGAGTGTGATGGAAGAGTCAAAGAAGGTGCTGGACATGCAGAAGCAAGGCATCAAGGACTGACACAAACACTATTTCCACTGCAGACCACAGCAAGATTCCATCCCATTGCTGCAATCAATGCCATTCAATCACCGCGACTGCATTGGCAACATCCACATCAATTTCCACAGGATAGGGAGAGCGTAAAAGACAGGCTTTTCCCCTTGCTGGCAGTCGTGGTGGCTACGAGAAAGGGGAGAAAGGGGGGGGGGGGGACTCAATTGCTTCCTTTGCTTAAGAGGATCTTCTACCCTGACTGGATACAAAGCCTAGCGATCTGATGGCAACACACCTGTGGAAAGACTTCGCTCAAGGGTTTGGGCAGGCCTATGCTCTCAAAAGATACGTAGTTTGGCAGGTTGCTCACGCCCGGCCAAGTGTCTTTGTCCGGTACACCAAGGACAGCAAAAATTTTGCCCAGAGTTTCAAGGTCCACATTGCCCTCAAACCATGGTTTACGCAGCATAAGCTCTGAAGATGGCCACAGTCACAGCAACAGGTCAGCATCCCAGTCTGACAGCTGCTTGACTGCACTGACAGCAACGCAAAGGGGCCACGTTCATTGCACCTTCTTGGCACCTGAGTATGACTGGCCAATGCCAACAGATGTCCAAATGGAGAGCTGCAACAACGCAGCCGTGGATGGATGAACGTGTGCACCACAGTAATGCGAAAACAACACATTAGTCATGGCACACTTCTCTAATGAGTTCAGTTCATCATACAGCATCACTTTTCCAGCAGTCTACAAGGACCTCACAATGCTTGGCAAAGGAAGAGGCCAACATGAATACATTCACAAACAACCATTTCTTTGACCTTGATTAGCAAAGTTTGTCTGCTCAGTAAGTTAGACAACAAGGTCAGCTGAGCTGAAAATTGTGCGTGGAACAGTGGCACACTGCTCACCAGCAAAGATGCATCCAGCACCCCAAATGTCAACAGCAGGACCATATGCCCTTGAACCAAAAAATAGTTCTGGTGGTCGGTACCATCGTGAAAATACCTGCACAGAGCCAAAACAAGGTTTCATAGCGCACAGGTGTCGCCCATACTTCCTTTCCATGGCTTTGGGTCACCCCAACCCTTCTCATTTCTGTGGGCTCAACAATGACTTACCTCTCACTGTAAGCAACTGGTTTCAACACAGTGGCCATACCGCCTGACCTGATCACTGTTGCAATAGTTCCATCACCGCAATTTCGAAACACATTGCTTCATTGCAGTTTTCTGCCCCATGGTTCTCTTCAGAGCGAACACAAGGGCACAAACACCCTTGGACGACCAACACAGACTGAAGAACACCCTGGTATCACCTTGCAGGCACCAGAGCAGTGCTTTATCACAATTTGCAAATGCTGTCAAGCACATCCATCCCTGAGGAGGATGTGGGACAGCAGCACCTTGCCGTACCAAATGGGTGTAGTGAGGATCTGGGCTTCCATACTCCCTTGAGAGTCCAAAATCCGCAAGCTTCATTTCACCTGTACATGCATTGCAAACCTACAGAGTTCAAACAGCTGCCAGTGAAAACTGACAGTAACACAACCATAACAATCATCGGGAGGGCACCCATACACAAAAGAAGTGTGCCACCAGCCATAAATGCACTAAAACCCTTGCTGCAAAGATCTTCGATGCATTAGCAGCCAGCAATTGCAGCCTTGGCTTGCACAACAGTGCCAAACATAGTGTGAAATTTTTGTTCAGTACAAGTATGAAATAGAAACAGTGAGCACTGCACCATTATATAGGCAGGAATAGTACAGTACTGATATGCAAACAGTTCGGGCATAAGATAGCTCCACCAATTGCTGTGCTTCACACTGTTTCCACTGCGCAACATTAAGGCGCGTTTCAGGATGGTAAGGTGATGAAACAGAAAAACAGGCAGTCTCTTCTGCCAAATGAGGCTTTTGGACATGAATACAGGCAACGGTACAAGAAGCCTTAGGTATCTTTGCCACAGTTGGGCACTGTGCAGCTTCTTTTAGGCTAGCAAATGGAAACAGCAATGTTTCTGTTCCTATTCTAGCAGCAATATGCCGCTCTTCTTTTCATTTTGCATCTGGCTGCACCTTGCAGTCTGCTATGCTTGTTCTTCATGTTCAGCCAGATTCAAATTCCACAAGTGCAGTGTTGAGTGGTGCACATAGGGTTGCATTGATTAGCAACACCTTGAATCAGTGCTTAGTTGGCCATTGTACTTTGTGCAAACTCACTGTGCACAACAAATGCAAGCATGCGAAGCAAAATCAGGGACAATGTAAAACGGAACACAGATATGCAAGAAAAAGAGAAGCCTGTGAAACGCATCTTTATGACCAAGAAAGACAACTAACGAAACAACTGAGGCAGTTCAAGTGTTTGTAACTCCAGGTTTATCCTGCACCTGACTCTGCGATGAGAAGATTGTTGGGCTTCAAATCGCGATGAAGGACTCCACTCTCATGGCAGTACTTCAGTGCCTCCAGAAGCATTTGCATGTATTTCTTTATATCAGCTGCTTCCAGAATCTTGGACTTGTCGTATATTAGTGCCTCGAGGTCGCTATGCATGTACTCGAATACCTGTGCAATGGAACCTTCCTTGAGCATCTGAATTCAGCACTAAATCCCTTGACTGCACTTGTGAAACTGTACTCTTGCACATTGAACGTGATGACTGCCATTTGACAAGTGACTGTTCCCTGTGTGTTCCTTATTCTGTGCCGCAGTCATGTGCGCAACAGACAGATCGGCTTGAAGTGCATGAATACGTACTGCCAAAACGACAGTCCAGGCCCATGCTCTGCATAGTAAACTCTATGCACTGCATAGAAATGATCATTGAGGGCCGCACGCAGTGCCCAGTTCGAACAAATCAGGCTCGAAGCATCAGAAAGTGGTTCTTGTCTACTTTGTCAGACCTGTCCCTGGAGCATATAGGCTTCCATTAACAAGCAACAGACATTCTTACTCTACAGCCTTAACTCAGTCCAATGCCCAGCGCGTTGGAGTACCCCATGAGGGGCAGAGTAGCTGCTGCAAACCAGCCCCACACATGCAAAAATGCAAAGGTTTTTCAATCCCAAGTTATGCTTCATGTCTACAAAGCAAGCCAGTGCAAAAGCACCATTGCACCAAAACCTGAACATTCAAAATCTCTCATGGGTTCCTCTCCACAGGGAGCATTTCATTTCAGAGGTTCAGGACCGCCTTCCGCTGCTTTACTTGACACCCCTTTGCTGTAGCAAACGAGATGGTTTGTACATTGGAACTGCAAAGGACAAAGCCAAGGTCCATCCAGGCGGCACAACTGCGGCGAAAAACGATGGGCCTTGCAGCTCCAAGATCGTCGACTAACACCCCCAAACCACCCACCCACCCACCAGGAGTACATGTTTGTTGGTTTGGCGCATGCATCATGCTTTTCATTTCATTCTTGCCGACCAGTGGCACCTATAGTGCTGCAAACCGGAGCAGGGCCCACTGTACACTTGCTTAGGAGGGGTGGCTCCACTGTATGACCCGTGTTTTGGGATTTTAGCACATCTTGTAACACACACCAGATAAATCTTGCTCTTGCCCTTGCCGCTCTTCCCCCTGTCCTCGAACTCGTCCAGGAGCTTCACGATGCGTGGGTGGTCGAGCTCCTTCTGGATCTTTATCTCTCGGTAGGCCGTCACGCTGACGCCCTGCATCGCAGGCCAGGGCGGTCGCCGAGGGGCCGCGGCCACCCAATCACGATCGAGATCACGGCGTTGGGCCCTGGAGGGGTGGCGCTGTTTCGTCCGGTTTTGCAAAGAGTGGAGTTTGGAGAAACAAGGGAGCAACACGCGGCGAAGGGAGAAAGTTGTCCATTCTGCGCGTCTTGATCGCTTTTCCCTCCCCTACGGGATACCCTTCTCTTTTGGGAGGCCCCGTCCGAGCCTGATCATCCGCTGAGGAAAACGAAGACGAACCGCCCAAGGAATGCGAGACGCAAGACAGGATGAGCGAGACTGTCTCTTGCCCGCATGGTCCTTCCCAAAACTTACCTCGCTCTGCTTCATCATCCGGAAACGCTTTATGGCTACCGGCTGGCCAGTCTGGCGGACGGGAGGAACACAGGTTGAGCGCCGTGCCGCCCATGAATTCGAATGCACAGCTCTGACACCGGTGGCGGTCGAACCTCTTTGCACGTCGCCATGAAGACCTTGCCGAAGGTCCCCTTCCCCAGTGTTGGCCCCCTCTCGTACTTCTCCATCTCTGGGGGCGCCGGGAGGGGGCGGCGCAGGCAGGGTGTGCGCCCAGGGGAGGTGTGGGCAGCTTGGCGGGCTGCGCTCGCTGGAATGCACAGATGGCGCTAGTAGTTGTTCACGGGTGAGGTTCAGTTGGGAAATGGAAGCGAATAGGATATGGGCACGGTTAGCCAGTGGGGTTTAGGAGATGTTAAAGTTGGCCATTTCCAGGCCATAAATGACATGGCAAATGTCTCCGTCAACTTCATATTCCCAGCATCGACCGGCAACATTTCCAGCAGCATCGACTGACCACCATTAGCTACAGCATCAAGAGCATCTTACATCGGAAAATAGCGGCAGCATGAGGAGCGATCAAAAGACTACAAAACCGACCAGAACTGTAGGAGATCAAGCCGCTCAGCGATCACAATTCCGGAACCAGTTCCCAAGTACAGTTTCACTACCCTGCATGACCAACTACGCATCCGCATGCAAGGTCCCGTCTGACTTTGACGCCCAGCATGGGATAACGACATCCTCTCACACACCCACAAGCCGTCAGACGACCAGTCCGACATCCAAACACCGTCCAAGACCTCCAAAACGGCAAAAGCGCACAGCAGCGCTTCCCTGCATTCTGACCATCCTGCACAGCGAGCCCCACCTCCCAGTCCCACTGCCCAGCAGCTGGTTGGCGGTTTCCCGGCAGCCATGACAGCAACGCGATTCCGCCAGGTCGAAAGCTGGCGCTTTCTGATCGCCCAGTTGCTCGCCTTCGGCGACCTCTGGCTCTCGAGATGGTATCTCGAGAAGGCGGACTGCCCGGAAGGGTACTCGAGCTTCGGGCTCACCGTCATCCTGCCGTTCAGCGCTGAGGACGCGCAGTGGCTGCATCACCAGCGGGATCATGGCGAGGAGGCCTTACGCTATCAACTGCAAGAGCAGGCGCGCGAGGCGTACGAGCGCACGGAGTCAACGCAACTAACGTCAGGACATCTGCCAGGGCCAGGGGAGAAGCCAGACTGGAACCCTGACTACAAGCCGGAGGCCGTGTACTGCCCCTGGACCCTCCAGGTGCACCCCCATCCGCACCGGCCGTACACCGGCATGGGTACGCAGGCCTTTCGGCAGCGGATCGCCGCGATGATCGAACATGAGGGTGGTCGGATTCAGGCCTGGCGAGGCGCCGAATTGAATTACTACAGGCGCGAGGTACACATCAGCCTCGACATCAGCGTGCCGTTCTCGGACGCGAGGTGTTGGCGCATGGAAGGTGGAGGCGTGACCCGCCGCGAGTACGCAGCGACGCATCCATCACGAGCGTCTGAGGTCTTCCCGCGGGAGAAGAAGGACTTCGGGATCCAAACGGAACCGAACGCCGCCGTACTGCCCTCGGCAGCCTTCGCGGAAGCCAGCGCGATCGTGGCGCGACGACTCAACGCGGGCAAACCGCCGTACACGGACGTCGAGGTACGCGCGGAGGAGCGCGCTTGGCGGAGGGCCATCCGGCGTCAGCGCCGGGAAGCGCGGGCGCGTGGTCAAGCCCCGGATGACGTCATGGTGGATGTGCCCAGTGAGGAGCCGCCTACGGTACCGGCAACCATCGGCACTGCCGAGGTGACGACACCTGCCCTGCCACCCGGTTTTGATGGGACGCGCAACGAGAGGGTGATGATGCCATCGCTGCCACCAGGATTCGGTGGCTGAAAGATGCGGACTACTGAAAGTCGGTAGACAGGACGGCGATCGTGACGGGACGAGGTGCACACTGGCGGATGACGCGATGACTGGAGGCTGCCTGAAGCCAGCTGGCGCGTTTGGAGCTGTCCAAGGGAATCCCTGGCGGAGGAGGAGTGTGTGGGAGTCTGGCTGGCATGCGATTGTACGGGGTGGACTGTAGTGGAATGTGTGACTGATTGGGTCTTTTCTTGTCCGGGAGTGCGAGTGGACTCGGAAGGGTGATGAGAGGGGTGAACCAATGAGGAACAGCTGTACCAAACAAACACTCCTGTAATAAAAAGCCGCGGGGAGTCTGTCCAGGCAGCTCTCCGGCAGGCCTCTGTGTGACTCTCTTTGTGTCCCAGCCGCCTGTACCTCCCCACCGCCGCGCCACAGCCCCCCGCCGGCTCGACCAATCACCGGTCTTGCCCTCTTGCGGTACCCGTGTGTCCGCAAGCCGGCCTAAGGAGCCCCGAGGCTCTGTGGCGTGTCTCACACTCGCGTTGAGTGGTGAGTAAGACGGTCGTGGGATCCGGAGTGACTGAGGGCGGCGCATTACGCAAGGCGAGTGCCGTCGCTGGTGCTGGAGTGCCGTAGCACCCTACGGGAGTGCGGATCGGCCGGTACGCGCAACAAGTGGACGCTGTGAGGGCGTTGCGTCGTACGGAATTGGTGGAGACCTCTGCGGTGAGGTGCGAGGGTGATATGAGCTTTCCGGGAACGCCCATGGAAGGAGCTGCCGTCATGGCGGCGTTGGCTGGCGCTGTCGGGCGGGGTGTGAGGTTCCTGGGCGCTGGCATCCAATGGATTGGGGAACTCTTGGTGACCCTACTCGGGTGGCTGGCCTGGATGCTTAAGATTGATGAGACGAAGACGAATTCAATGATAGGAGCGGTCAGCTTGGTCTATAATGGCCTGGCCCTCCTCATTTTGTTCAACATGACTGCCGCCATTTTCTGCACAATGGGGCAACTTCTGCATGGTTTCGGAGCCGAGGTAGGCTCATTGGGAAGGGATCTGATGCTGCATGGAAGGACAAGGAGGCGCAGAGCTGCGTGGACCAGGAAAATCCCATTCCGGTTCATGTTCTTAGTTATCATGGGAATGGCAACGGAGGCGACTGCATGGTCAATGTATGAAGTACCCGCGGTGAAGGAAGCATTGAAAGCTGAAAAGAACCAACTGTACACTGCCCAGAAGGGGGCACTGGTCCATCAGTCTGTCTGGGATCGCATGGCGTCTTTTTGGTGGGAGAGGCTGGTCAGAAACGACGATGACGTGGAAACGGATTTGCCCCCCAGTCCGCCAGAAGGCTATGGACAAGACTTCAAGAGCTGTGGGACAATTCGATGCAACTTCTATGCCCTTCAGGATCAGGCGATTGATTTGCTGATTGATGCCATCACAAATCCAAGGAAGATGTTTGAAAGGATACAGGATGCTGGAGTGTACGTCCTGGAGCATGGCCTACCGTGGTGGAATGAGATCTTGGGTCTGCTGATCCTATGGGGTTTGATCAATCTTTCGTCAATGATCTGGATGCGGATTGAAGACATTTTTCATGCGATATACCGATGTGGATGCGCGTTCTTCCAGTCGCCGGTTTTCATTCTGTTTGGAAGATGGAAGGCCACTATCAAAGAGATGTGTGATGAAGGAAAGGAGTCAGAGGAGAAGAAAGACGAGAAGAAGAAGGGAAACAAGAAACAGACTACTATGGTGAAAACTGGTGGGAAAGTTGTGAGAAAGGAGAAGGAGGGAGCTGGAGACGTCAGTAGTTCTGACCACAGGAGCGATGAAGAGAAGCCAAGGAGAAGCAAGCAACGAAAGGAGAAGAAGCAGGAGAAGGAACAGGAAGCTCAGCAAACGGCTGCAATTCTGGAACAACCCGCAGCAGCTGTCAAACTGGATGATGAGCGAATCTCGGAGATGATCGCCGAAGGCGTCAAGAAGGCTCTACAGAATCAAGAAGCAACTGCGAGAAGGAGCAGGGTACCTACCCCCTACAAGCGGCTATGGTGCGATTTCTGCAAGAGTCCGACTCATGACATTGAGTCATGTGCTACCAAGCAACGGATTGAGAGATATAATCGGACTAAGGAAAGAGCCCAGAACGAGCCATCAACATCAGAAGACAAGGGGAAGGAGGTGGCCAAGGTGTCGTACATCGATCAGGGCAATACAACAACAACACTCCTCTATACGCCAGCAGAGGTGGATGGACATCATTTTCGGCGCTGCATGATTGATACGGGAAGCGAAGTTAACGTCATGCCTCTTCGGGAAGCTGTCAAGAGAGGGATTGCCCATAATCCAGGGGCTATTACACAAATTATCGGCTTCAATGGCGCTGCGTCACCAGTCGTAGGCGTCGCAACCTGCCAGCTCAGGGTGTCACCATGTACGGACCAAATCGAAACCGAATTCCTGGTGACTAACGGAGTTTCTGGTGGGCCCATCCTGGGCTTCCCAGCCCTCAACAAATTGGGGCTAATTGTGGATTGCGCACAATGCGAAATCAGTGAGAGGACATCCGGGAAGGTGGTCAGATGCGCAGCCACAACGAAACGCCCAAAAAACTAGTTTCGTCAGCAGCTGACCAGGGGGCTGCGGGAGACGACAACAAAGAAACAAAAAAGGGAGTGCAACTGCAGGGCACCTGGACCTGGGGAGAAGGAGCTGCACTACTGGAACAATTATGGAGTTTAGAGGGATCACAGGGGATCAGTATACATACCCCTGAACTGGTGTCTATTCTGAGCGGGAAAGCTGTTTATTTGTCACCGCAGCAGTACACTCGGGTGTACTTGCCGTACAAGATTACAACCCATGGGGGGGTGTCCTTGGCGGTAGCATTACAGCGACCGGGTCTGATTGCAGGCATTTCAGTGACAAAAGGGGGGATGATCCGCCTGAACATCTTGAATACTACGGGGGAAACCGTATGTCTGACTCCAAAGACAATCATGGTAGTAGTACGTGCGAAGCAAGTGCAAATAAAGCACCTGGGAAAGGAGATAAAAATGGTACATCAAATCAAGGGGGATGCTGACGCTTTTGGAGATAGGTTACGGGATGAGGTGATGCTAATGTACCCTGAAGTGGGAAACCTTTCAGAACATCCCGTCAACGCAGCTATGGCAAAGCTGGTTGTGAAAGCTACCGAAGTTACATGGAAGCAGCCATCAGAACGGGGCAGCCGGACTCAGTACATTGTAGAAGAAGTTGCTGACCGACGGAAGGTGCAAGACCAGTTGGATGCTTATGTACAGAGAGGATATCTCAAGGAAGCTTCGGTGGCAGA